GAAACAGCAATAATAAAAATAATAATAGGTACCATTTATTGGCCATCTGCTAACTATTGTGTTTAAAGGGCTTGCATACATTATTGAGTTTAATCCTTACTCCTATAAGACATAATCTTGCCCCTTTTATAGAAAAAGAAACTGGGTCAGAAAAAGGTGAAAAACTTGCCCAAAGGCACACAGCCAATAATAATAAGTAGTGGAATGCCCTGGCCAGTGTTTCTCAGTGGTTAGAGCGTCTGCCTGAACACTGAAGGGTCTCGGTCAAGAGCACACCTGGATTGCAGGTTCAGGTTCAGTCCTGACCATGGGTGGTTGGGGTGCATGTGGGAGGCATCCAACCAATGTGTCTCTCTCATGTGGATGTTTCTCTCTCCTCTCTCTCTCTCTCTCTCTCTCTCTCTCTCTCTCTCTCATCTCTGCCCCCTCCCTCCCTCTCACTCACTAAAAATCAATGAAAAAAAAATCCTCTGGTGAGAATTAACAAAACAAAACAAATGTGTGAGCCACGACCTGCGTGGTTCAAGGTTCAGGATCTGGAGAAGGGCCACACACAATGACAGAGACGAGACAAGAAATAATAATTTGGAAATATTCGGGGCCAGGCGGGAAGCCCAACGCAAGGGGAAGGACTTCCACTGGTGCCCACGCCTTGCCAACCTTTTATTCAATTTTGGATACACATATAGCCCTTAGTCAGGCAGGCAATTCCGGTAACAGACAGACTATCTTAAAGGTCAGTAAAGATTTACTCTGAGACTATTTGGTCAGGAAATTGCTTGAGCCACTATTGTCTCGACTAAACAATTGGTGCATAGCTCTGGCCCTTGCCAGGGCTCAAGGTTCACCAGCGTTCTGGGCTCCTTGTTTACATGTCTCTGATAGTGAAGACAATGGGTAGCTTCCAACGAACAAACAAACAAAAATAAGTAGTGGAGTGAACTCTGATGATGACAGAGAAAAATCTGGTGCTCTTAGCCCAAATTTAATATTGTTACCTTTGATTTTGAAGTGTTTATGTTCTTTATTTCCAACTACCTTGGAAAACAAGGAGTTGGATATCCTGGGGTTTTAAATGGGGAGTCCCATTTACATAGGAAATGTAGTCTAGAATCAGGCTGGTCAGGGCCTTAAATGTTAAGCTAAGGAGTTTGGACTTGATCTGTTTTATCAGTGAGAGTTTTCTGTGTAGGGAAGGGCCAAACAAAACATATCTGAGGGCGGGACATGGCCAGCAGTTTGCAGCTTCTGGAGTAGGGTTAACTGCAGAGAATAAGGATAGGGTAAATAAGGGTACAACCTCAAGGAATTCATAATTTTAAAATAAAGGAATGAAAGAAGCCAGATTATACTGACATGGACCTTGAAATGGGAAGAATTCTAATATGATGCAAAATAGTTAAGCAGAATGATGAGAGAAGAGGTCAGATATAGCTATTGAGAAACAAATCATCGGTGACCTTGGAGAGAGAGGGATCAGGAGAGTGGGTGCTCGGGTTCCAATTGGAAAGGTCGAAGAAAGAAGGGTGGGGAGAATACGAAGGCAGCAGCACGGCCTACTTGTGTGAGAAATCTGGGAGTGGAAAAGGGGCAGTGCAATGGGAGTTTGAGGGAATAATAGCACCAAGAGTCCTATGTCTTTTTTTGTTGTTGTTAATCCTTACCCACGGATATTTTTCCATTGATTTTTTAGAGAGAATAGAAGAGAGGAGAGGGACAGAGAAAGAAAAAAGCATAGATGAGAGAGAGACACATTGATTGATTGCCTCCCACACATGCCCAAACTAGGGCTGAGGATCAAGCCAGCAACAGAGGTACAAGTCCTTGACCTGAATTGAACCCGAGACCCTTCAGTCCACAGGCTGATGTGTTATTCACTGAGCCAAACTGACTAGGGCGAGGCCTATGTCTTTTGGAAGGTGAAGGCAAGAGTCAGGGGAGGTGAAAGGGGCCAGGCAAGGGCCAGCTGACAGAACAAAGGAAACTGGGTACCTTCCCCAGGAAGAAATGGGGTAGAAAACACAGGGAGCTTTTCCAGTCTAGGAAAGAAACATCGCTTCCTCTTAGGCTAGAGGCAAGGAGAACAAGGCTTTTGAGATGGATAATTAGAGGCTGAGGAGCTGGTTAGATGGGGGGAACTCACACCTGAAGGACTTGAATCTAGGGAAGCAGAGGATATGGAAGGAATAGAATATAGGTGATATTCAGGGGGTGGAACAACTTAGTTGGGAAATTAAAAATAGCTCAATAAACACTGAGTATTAACTATATGCATGGCATTGTGTTAACATTTTTAATCCTCACATTAGCAAATAGTGGAAGAGAAAGAAATCAGGTTCTGAAGAGTCAAAGGTAAGGAGTGAGATTAGTAGGAAGATCAATCTGGAGGCAACATACAGGTTGAAACTGGAGAGATATAAAGAGAGACTACAGTGTGGCTCAGTGGTTGAGCATCGACCTATGAATCAGGAGGTCACAATTCAATTCCAGATCAGGGCACTTGCCCAGGTTGTGGGCTCGATCCCCAGTCGGGGGAGTGCAGGAGGCAGCTAATCAATGATTCTCTTTCATCATTGATGTTTCTCTCTCTCCCTCTCCCTTCCTCTCTGAAATCAATAAAAATATATATTTTAAAAGAGGCAAAGATATTAGTTAAAAGGCTGTATGTAGTTCAGTGGAGATAGAGGAAATGGAATTTAAGAAGTATAAGTGACCCTAACCGGTTTGGCTCAGTGGATAGAGCGTCGGCCTGTGGACTCAGGGGTCCCGGGTTCAATTCTGGTCAAGGGCATGTACCTTGGTTGCGGGCACATCCCCAGGGGGGGTGTGCAGGAGGCAGCTGATCGATGTTTCTCTCTCATCTATGTTTCTGATTCTCTATTCCTCTCCCTTCCTCTCTGTAAAAAATCAATAAAAATATATATATATAGAAGTAAAAGTGATCAGGACATGATGGCTGAGTGGGTGTAAAGGTGAGAGGTTCACTGGTTTGGGCCTCATCCCTGTCTTGAGTCCCTAGGAATAAAGTCGGAGCCTTGAAGATGACTAGGGGAAGGAATGATGGAAAATGAGTATACTGGATGTCATCCATTTGTCCCATTCAGACCCACTCTTCATCCTTCTCCACCCTGCCCGTGCCCTATGAAGATGATTCATATGGCCTGTGTCAATGGATTTCCTTGGGCTCTAGTTTTTGTTTGGGTTCCACCAATGGGGGGATATTATGGGTTGAATCGTGTCCCCCAAATTCATATGTTGAATTCCTAAGTCCCAGTACTTCAGAGTGTGACCTTATTTGGAAATAGGGTCATTGCAGATGTAATTAGTTAAGATGAGGTCATTTGGGAGGGCCCTAATCCAGTATGTCTGGTGTCCTTATATAATGGGGAAATTTAGGCACAGACACACACAGGGAGAATGCCATGTGAAAATGAAGACAGAGATAAGGGTGATGTTTCTCCCAAGTCAAGGTCCGCCAAAGACTGCCAGGGAACCACCAGAAGCTAGGGGAGAGGCATGGGACAGATTGTTTCTCACAGCCTCAGAAGGAACCAACCCTGCTGACACCTTGAACTCCTAGCCTCCAGAACTGTGAGACAATACATTTTTGTTATTTAAGCTACCAAGTTTGTGGTACTTTGTTACAGCAACCCTAGCAAACCAGTACAGAAATCAGAGGGTGGGAGAAGAGTGACCTTGAGCTATTTATTCCCCTGGCTCCCTCCCTGCCATGTCTCCATGGGTTGGCTGTATATCTCTATCTAAATGGAGAGCCAAGCAGCCCTCTTTCACAGCTACTCTCCCCAGGTCTAGTAACTACTCTCTCCCCTTATCCTTTGATGCCTAGGGGTGGAACCAGCTCCCAGTTGTTGTTAGTCCTGGGTTATTGCACTGTTCCTTGATGGTTTTCATAAATCCTGCCTCATCTTTATAAATATTCCCTTTATTAAACTCTCATCAAGATACCCAGTTTGAGTGTGCCATCTATTTCTGCCAAGACCCTGACTGATACAATGGGTATGTTTGGAGCCAGAAAAAACAAACAAACAAACAAAACTAAATAAAAAACACCCTTGTTTGAGAATTTGAATGGATCAGGAGAATCCATAGCCAGAATGGCTGAAGCACATTTTACTGCTGTATATGAATGGCTTAGAGCAGTGGTTCTCAACCTTCCTAATGCCGGGACCCTTTAATACAGTTCCTCATGTTGTGGTGACCCCCAACCATAAAATTATTTTCGTTGCTACTTCATAACTGTAATTTTGCTACTGTTATGAATTGTAATGTAAATATCTGATATGCAGAATGTATTTTCATTGTTACAAATTGAACATAATGAAAGCATAGTGATTAATCACAAAAACAATATGTAATTCTATATGTGTTTTCCAATGGTCTTAGGCGACCCCTGTGAAAGGGTCGTTCGACCCCCAAAGGGGTCGTGACCCACAGGTTGAGAACGCTGGCTTAGAGGACGAGGGAGGTTGGCATGGGGTTAAGGTGATGGTGTCCAGAAAGATTTAATTCATTTAGAAAACATTTATTGAAGGCTTACTCCCATGCACCAAACACTCCTCTGTGGGGGGGGGGGGGGGCAAGCGGAGGGTGGAGGAAGACAAGTCAGAGCCTTTGCCCTCAAGAAGCTCACAATCTAGTAGCAGGAGACAGACAAGTAAATGGTTGCTTGCATAGTCATCACAGGTGCTGTAGTAGGAATCTGGGCTGGAAACAAGAACTTGGGTTAGCATAGAGTAAAAGCAATGAAAATGGATGGAATTAGAGACTGTTAAGAATGGACTCTAGAGCCCTAGCCAGTTTGGCCCAGTGGATAGAGTGTCAGCCTGCGGACCGGGTTCGATTCTGGTCAAGAGCACGTACCTTGGTTGCAGGCTCCTCCCTGGCTCAGGCCCTGGTTGGGGCACTTGCAGGAGGCAACCAATCAATGTGTTTCTCTCTGTCTTTCCCTCTCTCATCCACTCTATCTAAAAGGTCAATGGAAAAATATCCTTGGGTGAGGATTAACTAAAACAAACAAACAAAAAATAAATAAAAAGAATGGACTCTGAGAGACTTCTAAAAAGGAGTAGAAGAGATGCCAGGCTAAGAGAACAAGAAAGAATAATTATGACCATTCAGATATATGAAACACTATATCCTAGGCACTGTGCTTAGATTATCTCACTTAATCCTCTTCACAACTCTGTAGGGTTCCATTACCCCTGTTTTATAGATGAGAAACTAAGGCTCAAAGACTTTATTTGGCCACAGCTAGTAAGTGGAATGACAGGAATTGAACTCAGTGCTGACTCCAGAGTTTGTGTTCTCAACTACTAGAGGAACAAAACCAGGAGAGACCGTGATATCATAGAAGCCAAGGTAGGAGAGAATTTAAAGGAGAAACAAGTAGTCACTGTGGCAAATGCCACAGAGAGATCAGATAAATAGAGGGTTAACAAGATCCTATTGGATCTTGCAATTAGAAAGTTTGAGATGAACGTTGCCTGGGCAGTTTCATTAGCAAATTTGTAGTAGAAGTACTCATTGAAGTAGTCCAAAAAGCAAATGAGAAGTGGGGAAGTGTGGCATTAAAGAGGTGAGAGAAAGAAGGTGGAAATTAGAGCTTAGTCAAATAAATGAGCCTTGCCTGAGGAAAGAGGCTCCTGGATTTTTGTCAGCAGCAGTATTGCAAGATCAGTGTTGTGAAACCCAGCTACAAGGGTCAACAAAGAGGATGGAAGTGAGGTCTGAGATGTGTATGGTGTGGCGGTGGGGTGGGGTGGGGTAGGTAGAAAGGGTGGGAAGAAAGGTCTACTAGAGGGTTTGGTTCTGTCCAGGGTACTGGGAGTGAGGAGCCTGCCAACAGGTCAGTGGTAAGTAGGAATGGTTGGCAATGTGAGTGGTGCAGTAGGATCCCGACTCAGCCGTGGGCAGTTGCACAGAGAGGGGCATGGTCCCCAGGCAAGCGGGCTGCAATCCTCGGTAGTCCATCTGGGTCTGGGAGGAACATAGGGGCAAGGGAGTCTTCTCTGAGGACTTAGGTAGAATTTCAAGGAGGCTGGGTTCCACTTCTTCATAGACATCTGAGACTGCAGCCTTGGGCTGGGAGAGATGAGAGGAAAAGGGGGCTGGATTAGCAGGTCGTGTGCGAGAAGACCCAGATTGTGTAGGAAGGAGGGTCTGGCTTGGGGTAGGCCCAGGACAATGGAATACTGGTAGGCAATGGTCTTAGAAAGGTTGAGTGTTCAAGGATCCAGCTCCTTGTAGGACTAGTGGTGGATGGTAGGGAGAGGAGTGCACTCACCGGACTCAGGGCTGCAGTATCCCGAAGGTACTGGCCTAGGACCCGGTGTAGGTCTGGCAGTGAGGGCCACAGGGCATGCCTCAGGCTCCTGGGGAGAAGAAAAAAGGAGACTGAGTCATGGGAGTGAGTTGGGAGGGAGGAGAACATTGAGGTGGGGCAGTGGGGGAGGCTCGGGGGGGGGCAAATAAACCTTGGGAGAGGAAAGGGTGTTGTCCATGTTAATAAAGGTAAGAGTATTGGGTCCAAAAGGAACCCTTTGGGGGGGGGAGGGGATTTTTGGTGGTGTGGAAGATTACAAAAAAAGGGACGGGTACAGAGTGTTCCTAAAACCTTTCTGCTTTCAGGGCCTTTGGGTGCTTTTTTTTTGCTCGGGAACCACTCAATTATTCCCCTCGCTTTCATTTAGGGTCTCGGTTCAAAATCCCATTCTGAACAAAAGAGGGTTTTCCCTGACTCCCCTGTCTAAAACAAGTACCACCTCCCTTCCCCATTACTTTATCTTCTGCTCTGCTTTATTTTTCTTTATAACACTTGACTTATTATGTATTTATTATTTTTTAATAAAATTTTATTGATTTTTTTTTTTTTTTTACAGAGAGGAAGGGAGAGGGATAGAGAGTTAGAAACATCGATGAAACATCAGTGAGAGAGAAACATTGATCAGCTGCTCATGCACACCCCTACTGGGGATGTGCCCGCAACCAAGGTACATGCCCTTGACCGGAATCGAACCTGGCCGATGCTCCATCCACTTAGCCAAACCGGTTAGGGCTATGTATTTATTATTATTGTATCTATTTGTTTTTGTCTCACCCCATTAGAAGAATGTAAGCTCCACAAGAGCAAAGAGTTTGTGTATTTGCTCACTTCTATATTTCCAGTGTATAGAATAGTGTGTGGCCCATAATAGGTGCTCAAGTAATTAGCTTAATGAATGAATGAAGAGAGCCAGTGGGGCTTATTATTAAGTTACTGGGGAAGGTGATCTATCTGGGAAGAGTATGGATTAAGGTATGTTGGGGAACTTCCAATTCTTTAGGCTCATATTTCCACATGGAGGGACTTTAGCTGAACAACATTTCAGACCTCTTCTGTGAACCTCACTCATATCTCTCCAGGGGAGAAGGAGTGAGTTATCTGGTAAACTGGGGAAAAGGAGCTGAGTACGTCTGGTTCAGCAGCACCACCTCCTCCTTTTCTCCTTTTTACTTGGATCTGGCTACCTGCATAGAGGCTACATTCCCACCTGCATATTAAAAGTTCAAAGACAGGCATGTTCAAAGAGAGATGATAGCCTAGGACCATCAAAAGAAGCTGCCTGGAGGAGTTGCTTTCTGAGCTGAGTCTTCAAGAATCAAAAGGTGTTGCCAATTGAAAGACTGAGGTGGTATGCATTCTATCTTTTCTGTTTATAACTTCCAATGACATTTCTCCTTAACCTTAGTCTTCCCACATAAATAAGTCATTTATTAATAACATCTATTTAAGGGTGTGCTATCTGGCATACACTGTACTGAGGATTCTTTTTAATATATATTTTATTGATTTTTTACAGAGAGGAAGGGAGAGAGATAGTTAGAAACATCAATGAGAGAGAAACATCGATCAGCTGCCTCCTGCACATCTCCCACTGGGGATGTG